AATCAAACAGATTCCTGAATAGACAGTTCTCCACCTGTTTTTTACATCGCTGTACAAGGTCTTCTTAGCAGATTTTCCGCTGTCAAGCTGCGTTTGCGAACAGTAGGTAGGATAGTTTTGTCATTGCTGGAACGTGGCCCATAACCAGCAATCTTAACGTTGAGTTGTAACTACCAGGAACGTCTTTTCCATTTTCACACGAGGTCACTCTGTACTGTACTTCTTTTGTCAATTTATTGAGTATAAATTAAACAAATCATTTTTAGGAAGACACGCTGCCTGGGAAAATACGGAAAAGATTAGGATGAGCAGGATTCAAACTCAGTACTTCTAGATTACTATTTCAATGACCTTAGCTACTCGACCACTGAGACAGCATTCTTTGATCAGAGGTATTTGATATCTTTATTACAAAAAGGACACAGCTCAATGCGCCTTGAAGCCTTCCAAAGATTGCAAGTGTTTGATTGATGTACGACATTGTTCCCCTGCATTTTTAGCTTCAGCTGACGATACTCACTTACAGACCATAAGACACACTGCCTCATTAAGGTTCTCTTATGATTTTTCAATGAGCGATTTTGATGGTCCCAGTGTCATAAAGTGTCATACATATCCGGTTATTCAAGCGGTAATAAACACAGTACCATAACCCACATCGAAGGCATAAGTGTGTAAAGGAGCCTACTAAATTCGTTACAAGCTGATCGTTATCAACATTGGACTTAGTATTAACGACAACCAAAAAAGACGTCTTCATTAGGGTTCAGCAATCACAAGGTTCTTGTTTTTGGTTAAATGTACGCCATCCTTGACAAAGGGCATATGAAAAGCTATACCAGCATAAAGATTGCGTTTAGAAAATAGTAGCATCTCGGGTTATTCAAGCTAAAGATTTTCTCGGAGGCGGAGTATGATCCATTGGTGTCCATGCAAAGATTAATCGGCACTTTAACTGAACACATAAGGGTCACAATGAGGACCAAGTCAATCAGTAAAAACTGCACAAGTATCTCCCATTTTCTGCCTCGAAACCAGGGGTATGACATAAAAGAACATATTCTGATGGGAGTTGAAGGAATAACCGAATGCATAAACTCGGAATATTTATACCCTGATGAGAAACCTGTGTGCCAAAGCTGTACTGGAGTATAAATGAAGGGATAAAAAACCCCGGTTTATGATTTTTTCTAATCCAAGGCATCCAAGCATAACCAGGAAAGTAAAATATGAGACACAGGGACTGAGGTAGACAAAATTCATTGGCAGAGTTTTATTACGGATAATGAATTAAAACATGAAACATTATTATTATCCATACGGGATGGTTTAAACCGTGGAATAGTTTCACAATAGAAAACGCGCAGTTTTATGCACGACCACCACCACCACCACCACCACCACCACCACCACCACCACCACCACCACCACCTTCAGNGGTTTTATCGGTGTACACGTGTGAGGCATACTGTCCGTTCATCATCTCTTTGATGGAAGAGTGTTTCAAACGGTGAACTCTCCGCCGAGAACAGACTGATACCGGTATTCCGTGCATCTCTTTTGTACAGGTAATTTTGGACCGTAAAAAATTTCCATGGACGTACAAAAACGGATTGGAGTTGCTATAATTCGTTTCAGGCACTTACATAAATAGTTTGATTATTCAATAAAAATAATAAGTGATTTTGGCTGGTTGTGGATGAATGTGTGTGAGAGTGTGCAGAATGTTCGATTGATAGCAAGCCATGACAGGCACAAGAAGTGAATAGGGATAAGCAGAGTAACGTGTTTGTGAACAGTGCACGGTAAGAAACGTCTTCATGTTATCTTAAGACTAATCTCCTGCATGAACAGGCTCCTTTACTGCACGCAATTATCACAAAAATTAGGGTTACGGGTGAATATCCTGGGAACTGTGGAGGCCACAGCAATTAGAACCTGTTCTCCAACCACATTAGGTGACTCAAACGCTAGTGCTACCGGGGCTTTAAGGGTGATGTTCCCTTAGTTCCATGGAAACTTTTTTCTCCCGCTATCATTTATTGTTTTTATTCAGATTTTCACACTCGCAATCACACACATATTCATCCAACACCAGCTGAGGTCATTTAGCAATTTACTGAATAATAGAGCTATATGCGCAAATGCCTGAGGGGATTTATCGAATGAAGCAATGCCTCTGCATTTTCAGTTTATTTGAACGAATGCCTCCTAGTGCTAGAGTTAGCAGCGAACTTTATAGTTGGTTTGTGGTATTGAGCACACAAAACAAGATTTACTGCAATTTGGCTTAGCTGAACCGAATATGATCCGAATGATTGTTAATTTTCCATGTAGTTAGGGGTATGCATTCTCTTGGAAATCTTGGTGGCTATCTTTTGTGGACGCTTTTGCATATTACGATCACGTTGTAACCTTGGCGTTTTAGGTTTGGACGGTATGTTCTCTATACGGTCAAATATACGCTCCTAACAGACTTTGGGACAGTGGTGAATCAGGTTGACCGACATTGTTCATCTCTGCGGACTAAACCTTGATGCGATTGAACAAACAGACTTGGCATTGTTTTCTTTCTTTTTAGTTTTATTCAATATTCTCATCATGGCATTAGCAAAACAGAGTGGCAAACAAAACTTGTTTGTCATAGCTTCTTACTCGAACCAAGGAGGTGAAAAATTGTCAAATTATTGCGTTGCTTTTCGTGATAAGTACAATTGGTTGATTGTAAAGTTTTGGTATGCCGTTTGGAAAAGAAGGGTCATATTTTTATGTTGTTCTCATGATTTGGAAATTTTCACACTCGATGGACGGAGTGAACTGTTTCATTTCTGGTCTGCGCCCACTGATCGTACCAAAAGTCCCGATTGTCTCGGTCAGGTGAAGACAAGGATACGCGAAAAGACTGAACCAGTCGTTTCGAAAACAAAGGGATGCATTGATCACATGAATGGCCACCAATTCGGCTGTAACACGATACCGTTGAGAAGCCAGTTTCGGTCGGTTGGATGACACTTTATAGATTACCTTGAGTGCTTACCAGTTTAATTGCTGATGTTTGCAGTGTTCTACAACTGCACTTGTAATACTTTTCTTTATACCCCTACTCACCCATGCCGGCTTGTGTTCCTTGCTTCTTCGTGATAATTGTTTGGTCGTTCTTTCAACATAAACTGCGGAACATGAACAAAGAACGTGGTCAATGATCGTAGATGAGGATAGGTTAGGCAATGTATCGAAATTTACGGCGACTATTTGTTGGTCTGTAATGGCCGGAAAAGTACGACTGATAGCCTTTCTAATCGGCATCTTAGTAACCCAGTTATGATTTCATTGAAAAAGAAGTCTTACGTCAAGCCCCATTCTTTCCACTGTTGCCAGTGATGCTATTGTAAGTCTTTTGATCAGATTCCTCAGAAAATATCGCTTCGTATAACCATTTTCAAAGAGCGTTTTCTTTATAGGTTCCAGTTCCTGGGTTAGACAGTCTTGTAAATAAATTATCCTTGCTCGATAAGCACGGGTTTGAACTGTTTCTCTTAAGCTTCAGAGATATATAACTAGCAAAATCAGAGTATTGCCTAGTGGTTGTTGATTTACGGTTAATAGAGCGTTTAATCTCTTATGCAACTTTTACATCTAGGAAATAAAACTTATCTCTGAGTTCCCATTCGGACTTGAAACTGAAGTCTGAGTGGGGCAATGGTGAAGATGTTTGAAAGCGCTTCTATATGCGTTTGATTTTCAGTACAAATGAAGATATAATCTAAATAACGACAGTAGAGCAACAGGCTTCATATTGCTTTCTGTTAGTCCCCTTTTCCCAGTTTGTCAACAAAATCATCGGCCCAATAGAGGGACAAGAGGTGATCGTATAGCAACACCGGCCGTTTGACGGCAGACCACTCCATTAAAACCGAACTAGGTGTTGTATGTGCAACGCAATAATATCCCTTTCAAATTATCCACTAATTTATTCACATCGGTATGTAAATGATTCCGAAAGCGACACTTGTTAACAATAAGATCACATACAAGGAAGCCAATAATTCCTACTCTGTCAGTGTTCTATCTAATCAGATCTATGAATTCAAATGCATTTTCTTGACGGCATTGTGTAACACTTCTCCGGATCGGTTCTAATCCGTTTAAAAGCAAACGAGCAACCTGATGAAAAGATGATGCCCTACTGTCTAGTATTGCCGCGATGGGACATCTGGTTCACATATTTTCGGTGAACCATAGAATCGCGGAATAGACGTACCCGTTGGTTGTAATTAGTCAAATCTCGCTTTGAAAATACCATTTTGATCCTTGGGCATTTTTAGAGACGTTATCCTGTCCTCACACTCATCCGATCTTCCCCCCTTATCCTTTCTAAATCCTGTTCATCTTAAAGACGAGAGCAGATCAATTTAATAGCACAACTCCTTAACCATAGTCCGATCTACCAGTGACAATATTTCACTGAATTCAGCGCCTCTCTATTCTAACCGTTTAGCAGACCTCGCTTTGGTCTGTCAGTCCTACGGTACTGTTGCGAACAGTCGTTGAATATAGATCCAAAATCTTCCACTTCCTCTTGTATTGTGGCTGTTATTAATCCAGTTTGAGAGCATAAATTTCAAAACTGCACTTCAATCCTTACCAACGGGCTGCTATTCAATTAAGGTGGGGAATGCGATGCGGTAGTAGTGGGATTCGAACATAGCCAATATGGAGTGATAATTTGGCGACTCTGATATCTGGAACACCGATGCACATGATGTCTAGGTCCTTCTCAGTTGATTCATGTGGCCGTTGTTGATTTCTGAGGGAATGCGAAATTACCTATGTAGGATAGCGATGAGATCCCGTACTAAAGAGCCCATAGTTTATGTCACCGTGTTTCAGAATTGGCGCCGTCTGCAAACGGTATTGGCTCTGCTATTGAAACATTCTGTGTGGGTTGCTTGTGAATATATATTTGTCACCGGCTTGCGGGCAAGCATAGAGCCAAAGCCACGACAAATATACCGGGGTGGGGGATCGGGGTACAGAACAGAATGAAATGGAGGTTAACCAGTTAAAATGGATGACAATAGATAACAGGAATAACAGCAAATTGTTCTGTGTATTTCACTACACACTTTTTCCTATTTGTGTTTGTGTGTTAGTTTATCATTTTTTACGGAACATGAGGTTTCTATGGACAGACCGCATATCATTTGCGCCACTGATTTCTATTCTCAGCCACCTCTCTCTCTCATGATCTAACCGCATTGACGTTTCTTCCAGCCTTGCCCAGTATGTACAAAGAGAGCGCGAATAGGCCGACGATTGGCAGATACAAGCAAAATGTGACCAAGCCATCGGATGCTGTATGGAGTCTTGCTTGTTTTACAGAACCGGTATCCGCACCTAGCATACCAAGACGAACCTCGTCATAGCTCACCCGATGTTTCCACCGGCGTCGTTTTTTGTAACTTTATCGCTGATTCGAAGTTGTATAAGTCGATGAATAAATGCGGATTTAGAAGATAGATCTTTGATCAAAGCATGAAACAGATTTTACTTGCTGCTTCAAACTCGATGGAATGTGTGCGAAAGTAAAAATCATCATTGAATTTAGATAACATTGTGCAGCGGGTAAGACAAGTGTTAAAAATTGAATCAAACTTAAATTAAGAGAGATAAATTAATTAACATGGATAACAATAAGTCACAGTTATGATTGAATTGTGTGAGTTAAGGAATAGTTTGGCCCCAAAGGTCCTGCGGTACTTTGATGTGACAAACGTAGTAGTAGAACATTCTTCTACCATCGAGTCTATTACGTAGGGGGTCCTGCTGTGTGATGTGGTGCTCGTTTCTCGTTTCTCGATTGCCTCCGTGGGCAGTTCCCGAAGGAAATCAGAGAGCTAAGCATTTATTAAAAACCCGGAACTCATTCGTTCTTCCCGCAGCTCCGGAAATTCAAATGGTAACTTTTATTATTACCAACACAATGATGGCTTTATACACACGGCCTATCAGACTAAAATGTGATTGCTGCATCGAAACATCAATGTTATAGACAGACCATCCCACAGCATGCATTTGAACTCGACTGAAAATGTATATGGTCTACGGCTATCTGGGTTTAGGTGTATGAATTTTTATTTCAACCTGTCTGTTACGGGAACGATAACAGATACAACGTAGGACGAAATTTGAATTGCGCTT